AACAAAGATAGCACTATTAAACCTATGCCAGATTGTAAAAATTATATAGTACTACAAATAAACTAGACTAAACTCTATACTAATTATTTATATCTATATTCAGAATATAAAAATATTAAAAACTATCTAGTCTTGAAGTAAAGCTTCAAGAGTTGAAATTTCTAGTTACTATCTTGTTAGGTTGGCAAATTCTATAGTATTTCATAGCTATTAAATTCCTGTATAAAATTAACAACTGAGTAGTCTTTGTGTTGCTACTATAACTTTAAGTTAACAACTAACTGGTCTCAATATAACTATGTAACCTCTTAAGGAATATGTCTGATCTATTATTATTTATCCCAAAGTATATATATATACCTGTACATGTCTTTCTTTTTTCAGCAGTGATTGTTGTTATTGATCTTTTGTAGAGAGTATACTATTTTTTTCCACTATTTGATAAAATTTTGAAAGTATCAAAAGTGCAGTATGAAAGAGGTTTCAGTTTGTAGATAACTTTGGTAAAAAGTATAATGAAAACTCGCTTGTTGTTCTCTTATTAGACCAACTATTCTATAATTTTATCAGCAGAAGCTGTACTTCTATTAAAATTTTCTGCACAAGAGCACTACCTTCTTGCCAATTATTTTGTATAGGAATGCTTTTAACTTGCATACTGAATATACAGAGGAGTTCAAGATAAAGTGCAAAAGTCTTGACTTCTGTAAAAATTATTATTATATAGTTGTCTCTTCTACTTTTCTTCAACAAGTTTCTGTTTTTGTTAGCTATAAGTTTGGTATAAGTGATCATCAGAGAAAGTTGATATTTGAGCAAACTATTTAAATAGACAACAAAAAGTTGTATATATAGTTAAATATACTCTTATTAACTAAGAATATACTACTAAAATATTTATTAAAAATCTGTCTGTTTGTGAAATTACAAAGATAAAAAAAATTTAAACTATCTATTATATTTTATATAAGGGCAGTATCATTTATCACTTGATTTTTTTTTGTCAAAAGCTTATCCTCTTCCCCCTCTTTTTATATGTCTTGATCAGGTCTTTATATATAATTTTAAATTTTTTACTCCCTCCTCCTCTAAAAAATCATCTGATTTTTGTCATATTCCTAATCATCTAAATATAGCAAATTATCTTTTAATTTTTTATTTAAAAACTAATTTAAGTTAATCAACTATAGTTATAGAGTTAATATAAATATAAATAAATAGAATAGTTTTGAAAATAATATTTTTAAATAAATGAATTAATATTATAATTATAAGTTATTGTAAGATTTTTGGAGATAATGTTTGGCAAAAAGAATTTATTATATTTAGATTTAGATACAATATTTCTTAAGACTTTCCAATCATATTGAAATTAATTTCTAATTGTTAGATATTTAAGTTAAACGAGATAAGAAGATTATTAGATAGATTAAGACAGAAGTTAATAATATTCTTAGATAATATTTTAAAAAGATGTATTTTAAATACTATATTTGTATTGTGTAATATGTTAATAATTATTGAAAAATTTGTATTTTCAATTTTAAGTTCTGTTATTGTCTGTATTATATATATATTAAAAATTTGATAAAGATTAAGTAATACTTGAAAACAATTGCTTTGATTTTAATTTTTTACTATTAATTAAAAATACTATAAATTTAAAAAAAATTTAAAATCATTAAAATGTTTAGCTTGCATGGTTTTAATGTTTTATAAGAAATTTTTTGTTAATTAATTTTTATAATCAAGAGTTAACATTTTAAAATTAGTTTAAATTTTTGTTAAAACTAGATTGTCTGCACTGTATCAATTATAAATAAACAACAACAGACAGTATAAATTTTAGATGTTCTATAGAATAGGTGGTTAATATAAGAAATAAGCTTTGCTAATAATTAGTAATCATTAATTTTTTAATAGCAGAGTTGCAAAGTTTGCAGAGTTTGCCCACCTATTTTATAAAACATCCTAAATTTCTATAACTATTTATCTTAAATATCTATTAAATATCTCTAATATAAAAAAATTTTATTTATAAAAATAGACAAATAATTACAGTATTTAATAATAAAAGAAAATTATACATATAGGGTAAGTTAGTAGAAAAGTGACAAATTTATTATATAAATTTGTCCCATTTCTACTAACTTCTCTCATATTGTTAAAATAAAAAATTAAACACCACCAAAAATACACTATAATAAACAAAGAATATATTTTGAAATTAGATCAACTTGCAAGAAAGTAAAAAAAAAATATTTTTGACCAAACATATATGAAAATATTAAAAACTATATTCAAACATATAATATATACCAATACAGAGGATATGAAATTAGAAAACAAGATCTAAAACCTATAGAAGTAAAAGACTTTTCTTTAGAATTGGGATTGATATTAAATAACTATTACCAATAACAAACAAGAAAACTGATATATTATAGTTGCTATAAACTATCTAATTAAATGGTCTAAAACAAAAGCAGTTGTTGACTATGGTCCAATAAGATGAAAGTTATTGATTTCGTTATTCATAACATATATTATAGACCAACGCTATATATACATATAAATACGTACAGAATTAGTATCCAATGCTTTAGTAATTATATAGTTTTAATTCATTTTATAGCTAAGAATTAATTTGGCTCTTTTTAAGACGTATATCTCGAAATAACGCCCCTGGGCGTTGTTTCAAAGAAGATACGGTAGTCACACTATTTATACAGAATTAATTTTTTTGATTAAAAAATTTTTTTTAAAAAAGACATAAGTAGATAATCATTCAACGATTAGGTGCTTCGAAAGGTTTTTGCCAATTTGATCAACTTTTTGATTAATAGGTTTTCGATTCGTATCATTTGTATTACTAAGCAGATTTAGAAAAAAGGCGACTACATTTACACGTACGTACGTACGTACACCCGGCCGAATCGAAATTTGGAAATCTGTAAAATTAAATATAATTGGCCGATCTGTTTAAAACTAATCAGAATGAATAGAATTATAATTGGTTGGCCAATGTGTTTATGAAAATTGTGTAGACCACGTGTAAATCAAGAATCTACTAACGGATATCATTGTGTATTGTGTAATAGTGCTATCATTTGCCGGCGATTTCAGGTAAATTAATACTTGTTCCAGCCGTAATCTAGAGGTTCTGTCGACAAAAGAGAGTACTTTCAGTTTTAACGTTTCGTTACGAGGCAAAGATGAGCGGTGTTGGATACATTGGGTCCAAGATCAGTCTCATATCAAGATCTGATATACGTTACGTAGGCATACTTCACAGTATCAATTCTGCAGACTCGACTGTAGCTCTTGAGCAAGGTTGGTTCTTTTTAACTAACTTTTTCTTTTTTAGAATTTTCGTAATTGTTTTTAATAAGATGTTGAAATATTACTGAGGATGAGACAATCGAACTTTTCTATTGTTTTAAAAATCAGCCGCTCTTGCAACAAGTCTCTTTGTTAAATCTATAGTTATGGTGTATTTTTTAAAATACGTTCCAAGATGATCTCTAGCTTCTTGTAACTCTTAGTAATATTATATACTGGATTAAAAGTTTTAACAAGTGAATACCAAAAAGATTAGAGGTATAATTTTAAAAACATTTAATATTCATAAATTTTTTCTATCATGATTAGTTCGTTCTTATGGAACGGAAGGTCGTCGAGGCAATCCTGCTGAGGAAATTCCTCCGTCCGACAATGTTTTTGAATACATAGTGTTTCGGGGTTCTGATGTGAAGGATTTGCACGTTTGCGAAGCCCCAGCTCAGCAACAGTCAATGCCACCTCAAGTCCCTAATGATCCTGCTATTCTTGGGGTAAGAGTTTGGATAATGTGCTAAAGAAAGTATTTTGCATGCACGATGGATTTAATAAAAATGTTCTTAGCATTGGTTTGTCTTGTCAATGTTGGATCCTATTTGTCATGCAAAAGAAAAAAGATCGCGTTTTAATGATGAAATTCTGGATGTAAATTACGTCTGAAGCGCAAAAAAAAAAAAAACAAAAGAATGTTGATATATCCATGTTGCCTTCCTTCTGATTATTCAGGACTAGTAAACAAAATTTTATTTGAACATAGGATAAAGTTCATTTCTAATACAGGTCAAAATTCTATTTATTGTTATATTATACAGACTACTGCTCCACGACCTCCAAATTTTCAAAGCTTTGCCCCACCACCACCATTAGGTGTACAACCACCTCCTAACTTTCCTGGTGCTTCTTTGAATCCTTTTTATCTTCAACAGGTTGCTTCTTTTCAGCAACAACAACAGTTTTGGCAGCAACCACAAGTTCCACAACCACAACAGGTTTGTCATCTTAATTAAATGTTCGATTGAAGTATTTACAAATTAAGTGGTCTTTGTGGTTTTTTTTAAATATTTATTTATTTATCTGTTTATTTTTTTTCATATATATTCGACTAGCATACAAAACTCGTGAAAAATGTATAGTTCTCATTCTACTTTTTTCTGTTTGTTTCAATGATTCGAATTTTAAATTGTGCAATTTATGGTACAATAGCTTAACAATATCACCGAAAGTCTTGCGAAAGAAGCTGAACAGCCAAAGTCACAGCAACAGGTCTGCAATTTTGGCAGCAAAATTTACGCATGATTAACCCTGCTCCTCGATGGACCATGTTTATACCAATTCCTAACTCCTTGAATATTAGAAAGAGCATGGTACACCGGACAAAGTAGAAGACCATAAAACGGAAAAGAAGACTTCAGTGACCAAAAATTTCGTCAAGACGGGAAGTAGTTCCCGATCATCGGCACAAACAACAAACGTTAGGAATGAAAGTGCAATAGAAGCGCCATCAACGGCCATGGCCGTGGAGAACTTGGCCAAAAAAGTCAGCGAATTAAGTATTACCACGAGAGAGGTTAATGGAGAAAGAGGTATATTATTTGAATAGTTTCCTTATAATTATTTTGTCATTGTTTATGTAATTCATTCATTATAATTTGAATGTAATTCTATTTCAATGCATACCCAATAATAGTTATGGGCAACAATCGTTCTGTATCAAGCAATAACCGACTTCCTGGAATGGGAGGCCATCTTGTACAACAAAATCGCAGAGGTCGTGGCAGTAGAAGAAACTATAATCAAAGTTATGATCGTAATAGAATTCCCGTTCCGCAATCAGATTTTGATTTTGAATCGTCAAATGCCAAGTTCAACAAAGACGAACTTGTCAAAGAGGTTGTTAAGAAAATTATTCCTAACCATGATCTTAAAGAAGAAAATTGCGCAGATGGCCTCGAACTTGGCCCAGAAGAGGAGGAAGAGGAAGTTTTGATACCACCTGCTGAGACTTATTATGATAAGGCTAAATCATTCTTTGATAACATTTCTTGTGAAACAAAAGAACGGTTGGAACAGCAAGGACCTGATGGCCGGTTAGCTTTTTTTTTAAAGAAAATTTACTCAAAACATATATATGCATTTGATAATTATGCCTATTTATTAATTGTTAATAGAGGATTGTCTGTGGCTGAGCGAAGACAGAAACAATCCGAAGAAAGACGTCTGAATCTTGAAACTTTTGGGCAAGTCTCGATCGACGGTGGAAGATATCGCGGTGGCTATCGCAGTCGTGGTTATAGGGGAAGCCGAGGTGGATATCGTGGCGGCCGTGGAATCCGTGGAGGGTACTCTAACAACTATCGGGGGAATAATTTCAGGGTATGTTTTACGTTTATTTCTGTGTAGATTTCATCATTACCATCATCGCTTACGTTACATGCGAATGTTTCATAGCAACAGATTCAGCAACAACAATCATGAGCCGAAAAAAAAAAGAAAACAAAAGCATATATTCATGGCGTTTTAGATATTTTTATTTGATATTTTTATATTTACGATCACGGATTTCTTGCTTGTTTGAATTTTCGTTGTTTTTGTTATTCAAAACATCACATTCACTTTTCATACCTATCATCGGATTTTTTAATATCTAATCAGATTTGTATAAAGAAATAATGTGAAGCAATATACGTGTAAACGAAGGAAGAAAAAAAAAAATAACAATGCATAAGAGAAAAAAGAGGGACATCAATAAGAAAAAAGGAGGCTTCACATGTATAAAAAAAAAAAAAAAAAAAAGGAATAAGGAAACCTTTTATACATAGTATTCGACATGTATTTATAATTTGTAGTCTAGCACGGTGAAATTTTTATGTTTTCCTTGTATTCAAATTTTCTTCCAACATATATATCGTATATTCTCTACAAAAAAGAAAACAGATAAAGACAGGCTTACTAAAGGTTTGATTTATTTTAATAACTGTTAATATTAAATTTTTGAAGTGTGCTATTGTATACTTGTTTTGTATCTTCGAAGTCGGATTTATTTGCATTTATACAAATCGGATTTCAATTTTAAAAAATTTGCATAATAAACATCAGATTATATAAACCAAGACTAATTATTTTAAACAATATATAGTAATATTCAGGCATTTATAACCTTATCATTATTAATTTAAACAATGTATTTTTATTTCAAATAGGATTATTCTTATTTTTTTTTTTTTGAATTTAACAAACTATTCGAATGATATTTTATCCCAATAAATTTGAAGAAATGCCAACAAGCCAATCACTTTGAATTACAGAAATATTTTTCATATATGGTTTTGAAGTTAATACCTGCAAATAAGATTATTTAGTAAAATGACAAAAAAAAAAAAAAAAATGAAAAAACTTTTTTTACCAATTCTGTATACATAACAGTTTCAATTTTTTTATTAAATAAAGTTGACGATGGATGTATGTTAACGATCTATTATCAGGATAAACAAATATTCAATTAGCTCATAAATGATTGCTATTAAAAATTTATCATAAAAATAGAATAAAACAATAACATCAATAACATGATAAATATACCTGATTACTCCCAACAGCTTTATAACCATTGTTACCGGGTTGTAACATAGCAGAATTACGAAAAAACCCGCTTAATACACATTTCAATAGTAGTTCATAGTTTTCGCAGCAAGTGGTTGTAGGAGAAATATTCATTCTTGTACACAATTGTATTAATTGTTTTCTTACATTCTGTTTATATATAAATTAACAAAATTAGTAAAATGAATAGAATTTCAATTGATTGTTAATAATACTTACAATAACATGTTTCATATTTCGTTTATTAACAAAGTTTTGTTTGCACCAATCCAAATTTCCTTTATGTGTTTCATATGATCGTAAAACATTTAAATAGGTAATCAAATCACCAAGAGGAGATATAAATTTCTTTTTCATATCCAATGCATGATCACGTTGATCTTGAGGCGAAAAAAAAATCGAGTCAACCGAAAGTAATGAAACTATATTAATTACTTCACGCGTACAAGACATTTGCTATTAAAAAATAATGCAAGTTATTAAATAATTAATGAAAGTTTATCAGTTAATAATAATTTTTAAAGTACCTCTGACATGATAAGGACTTTAGCATATGCCGGTTCAAGAGGAAACTCTGACATTTTTCTTCCCAAATCACTTATTTTACCTTGGTTATCAAGCGCTTTTAGAATAAATAATTGTTCCAAAGCCCTTTTTACTATGTTCAGGACATTAAAATAGAATCAACAATTTGTAATTAAAAAAAATTTTTTTTTTTTTTTTGAAAAGCACAACATACATAAGTTTCTTGACGGAGCATCTAAATAATCGAATTCAAGTACATTTTCGATACCAAAAGCTTTTAATAATAAGATAATCGATGCAAGATTGCATCTTTTAATTTCCGGTTCAGTATTTTTTTCCATTCTATTATATTCTTCTTCTGTATATAAACGATAACAAAACCCTGGAGCCTAATGAAACACAATAATAGTAATTTTTTTTTTTTTTATAAACAGCAAATGCACTAATATCTGTAAGCATATCTTTATAGCGCACCTCACGACCAGCCCTACCCATCCGTTGATCAGCAGAATCCTTTGAAATATTTTCTATGGATAAACTTTCCATTCCAACTCTTGAATTAAATTTTTTCATTTTGCATTTTCCCGTATCTACAACGTACCTAACGCCATTTATCGTTATAGAAGTTTCGGCGATGTTTGTTGCTAGTATTATTTTACGAGTTCCTGGAGGAGAGGGATCAAAAACTTTTGTTTGTTGTTCTGTCGGAAGAGCCGCAAATAACAAACACGGAATTATCTACATATAGATGTATTGTTTATAGAAATATATATCAGTTGTTAGATGAAAAAAAAAAGATTAAACATGAAATTGTACCTTTAGTTTATCTGGTGGTAAAGTCGTGTCGTATTCAGTTATTAATTTTTCAAGAATTTCAATATCATCTTGGCCTAAATATATCAAATATAGGTCAATTATATAACGAATAATTAATGGTTTATAATAAGTAATCAACAACTTACCCGGTAGAAATACCAGAATATCACCAGGCGGTTGATTTGCATGAATTTGTGTTGACGTAGTAAACACAGCATCTAAATAATCAGGTTGAGGTACAAAGCTGTAATTCACGCTCACCGGAAACTGTCGACCCGGAATTTGTAATATTGTAGTTCTAATGATGAATCAGTCAAGTCATTCTCGGCAAAAAAAAAAAAGAAAAGATAACTCTACAATTAAATAATGACTCACGTATTAAAATAATTGGCAAATTTTTGAGAATTCAACGTGGCACTCATTATAATTACTTTTAACGGACTACAAGATTTATCATTCTTTCTAGCATCTTGAACCCTTTTCACCATACCAAAGAGAATATCAGTACGCATTGTTCTTTCATGTGCCTCATCCAGAATTATTACACAATATTTCAAAAGCAGAGGATCAGATAATAATTCTCGTAAAAGCATGCCATCGGTGAGATATTTTATAACTGTAGCGCGAGATGATGTATCATCAAATCTGACAGAATAACCAACCTTTATAAAGTATGATAAATATTAATAATATTAAATCTACATATAAATAATATATATAAATTTGATAAGAACTAACACGATGACCAAGCTTCGTTCCAACTTCATTAGCAACTCTCTTAGCCAAACTTATAGCAGCGACTCTCCTTGGTTGTGTTAACGCGATAGCACCATCCGATATAAAACCAGCATCCAACAAGAATTGCGGTATTTCTAATGAAGCCGTGATCACGTGATTTTAATAAGAATTTATGAAGTTTCGCGAGTTTTTAAAAATTTTTATACATACGGGTACTTTTTCCACAGCCCATTTCACCCATAACAACAATAGTCTCATTTTCTTTGACAGCCTGTACTAATTTTTTTCGTTCTTTCAACAGAAAGAACTTTAGAAATTAAATGATTAGAAATGTTAACTACGATAAAGGAAATATAGACTACCTCTCCATATTGGAAGTTCTTTTCGAAATCCTTTTAATCGTTGTGCAATATCATGAAATTCCAAATCAAAATTTTTTCTTTGTTTTTTATTAACGCGCTTATTGCTAATGTTCGTTAAATTCTGATTTTTTGAAACGTCAAAGGTGTCATCAGCTAAAGAACGCCTACGTTTTGATTTCATTTATTGAACAGGTCGACCCCAGCAGCGGCGGTTAATGTTTAGATAGATTCTGTTCTCATGCAATACAATCAGCTGCCTCGTGATGATCTGATAAATTTCATTGGTCAAAAAATACTAGGTTTGTCGCGATGAGTGTATTAATAAAAGATTTCGGTAATTATTTCACCATTTGCTCGACTTCAGAAAGTTTCACCCACCGGTTTCGAAAATTTTACCCAATTTCGAAAATTTAGAATTTTTAGATTTGAGGTTTCGTCTAGCTGAAAGTTTTGATTTAGACTAAAATGCTGATGTTCTTTTAATCGGGTCTGGATCAAAATTCCGACAAGGTCAATCTCGACAAGTTAGCCCGCATTAGCTGTAGTTCCGGTTAGTTTTTGTCGGGGATTTTGTTGTAGAATTTTAATACGTAGTCGATATCGATATCATAAATATATATATATATATATAGTAAATCTAAATTCATTAAAAGATTTTTTTATGTATCATATCAGATATATACATGTATATATGTATATATTATTTCTTAATGCAGATACAGTAGCCTGCATTTAAAATTATAGTTAGCCCTCTATAATCACACTTGGTTTCAAGAAATTCTGCGCTTATAAAGAATTATGCTTAAGGTGAAGTAGGGTATTCTGACGCACCTAAGAGTGCTAATAGTAAAAGTTTTCAGAAAAAAAATATTATTCACAAATTTTATTAAAATAAACTAATATTCGATCTAATATCCATCGTCAAACTAATAAACGCCTTAAATTTTAAAACAAAACTCGATAATTTGAACTTTCAAAAACTATTTGAAAACTG